CTGTGTTATTTAGCCAAGCATTCTAAATTCCTGGGTCAGAGAACACACTGGATACAGCTCTAGCCAGGTGACCACCAGTAATGGGGGCTAGCAGGAGGAAGGCTCTGAAGTATAGGCATGGCTGATGGGGACTATCTCCGTGAAAGGGGACAGTTTACAGAGAAGGGAGACTTGAATTGGTGAGTCAGATCTAAAGGTGACTGTTACAAGGTATTTGTTGACTAAATAAATGTAATGATGGAATGGTCTCATTTTTTTAAAAAAAGAGCAATTGCCCGAAGTTATTAGCTAAAAATTAGAAAGTTACTGGGAGTGGCTCAAGTGGTAGACGCCTGCTTAGTGTTAGGTAGTAATTGGAAAACCCACTCACTATATCATTCTCAAAATCAAACCACTCTCCGAGCCTGATGAAACTTTCTTCCCAGCATCTCTCAAATCCTTCCCTCTTCCCTTCTATTGCACTCCACAGTTTTTTCACTCAGGCCTGATGCTCTGTTGTCTTCCCCACTTCTGTTCTACACTGCTGACTGTGCCAGAGTAATCTTCCCCAAACACCAAACTTTCCTGTTGCCAGTCATCACTCAAATCTGTCTGAAACTAAGCACATCCTCTGTCTAAATTAACTTCCCTTTAAATGACTGTCAACACTTCCATGTCCATCTCTCCATCATTCAGTTTTTAAAATTCTGGAATTACCTCTCCCTTTGTCCCTCAACATTCTCATCAGTTACCAAATCTTGTTGAATTTTCCTTCCTTTACCAATTTCCTCCATTGGTCCTTTCATCCTGATTCTGGTCCACAAGGTAGTTCAGAGTCTCTCTCAAGGACCAATAGGAAAACAGTATGGAGAAGGCACATGATCGAGCACCTGGGTATGCCAGAATCCTGCCTTGGCCAGCCATTTCTAACCCCAGTGAAGTGTCTGGGAACTATGACACAACCAGGCAAAAGAACACTTCATGATTAACTGGACATTTGGTCCCAAATCACAATGCAGAAGTCAGCAAAATTAGGTTGAACTTGGTCATCTCTATTCTCCATCAATATCCCAATAGGAGTCTTGGAACTTTACTTTCTTTGGGACAAAGAGAAACTAAAGAGAAAGGCAAATCTACAACCTCTGCCCCAAGGCTGGGATTGTCCCAGGTCTATGGCCTCAGGGTCTGGCAACCTGTGGGAGGGGGGAGAAAAGAGTGCTGCTTCTGAGAAGAGCAATGGCGTCCCTATCACTACTCAGGATATTCTGAAGAATTGGAGGGGTACTGCACTCATCTGGGCTGAGCCTGTAGTCTTGTAAAAGCTCTCCCAGGAAAATGGAACTTACTCCAGAGTCTCCATTTTTAGCAAAATTTTCTTCCCCTGTGTGTTGGGGAGGAAAATGGGGAGAGTGACATTGTTTTGCTCACCGTTTGCCTCCATCTTGAGAGGAATAAGGAAGAGAAGAAAGCCTGAGTGTCCTCTAGATCCCAATGGCTCAACTCACATTTGGATTCCCTGGTGACGCTACACCACTATGATCTGAGTCCTTGCTCAGAATTGTCAAAAGCTATCTGTTGCATTGAGTAAGCGCCAATTCTCAAGGAGGCCATTAGGATCCATCTGCCCTTTTTATTATTAGAATGACTTCATGATGTGACAGGGCAAGTATAAGAAAAGAATGCCAAATTTTACTGAGGGGTGAAGAGGATGGAAGCACATTGCATGTATGCATATGAAGACAGCATAATGAAACCCACCAAACACTGTTTGAAACATGGGGGAATGAAGAGGGGGGAATTGGAATATAATGGAGGGGGTAAACTTGTTCAAAGTATACCGTATGTGTGTATGGAATTATTACAATGCAATCTCCTTGTATTATTAATGTATAATAAATAAAAAATTAAACCATGCCAAATTTAATCATCCAGTGAAAATATCAGTTGAATTTAATTAAAAGGGGAAGCATTCTCGGTGGATTTCATCCACCCATAACCTAATTGATAGGTCCAGAAAGAACTAGATAAGGAATTACAAGAATCTAATCTGTAGGACAGGATCTGGGAGAACCCTTTTGACATAGAATCTATATACAAGAGACTTGCTGTGTTCACTGTGATGGCAGAACAATTTCTGTGATTTATCTTAGCCAAAAATCTCTGATCAAGAGGCAGCCTCAGCCTGCCAGGTAAACTAGGTTGGCTTATGGGCAGTAACTTCATTGTGCTTGGGATGGAGAATGTCATATTATCCTAAGAAGGTCAGAATTAAATAAAAGGGTGAGAAGATAAATCAAATGCATGTGCTCATAGTTCAGTGTTAACCTTGGCAATATTCTGTCATTTGATAGTTTCATTGTAACAGTTATAAAATTTATCATATGAGAAAAATTGACAAAAGTTTCACAAAAGCCTAAGTTTGATGTTTTCTGATACTAATTTATTTCTGTTTTTGCTTTGGTTATTTATTATTATTATTATTTTGGTGGCACTGGGGCTTGAGCTCAGGGCCTCACACTGTCTAGACAGGCACTTTTACTACTTGAGCCACTCCACCATACCTTGCATTGGCTGTTTTTGAGATGGTGTCTCACTTACAGCTTGGGCTGGTCTGGACTGCAATCCTCCTACACTTAGGCTTCTCAAATAGCTAAGATGATAGGTGCCTGCCACAACAACCAGCTTTTATTGGTTGAGATGGGGTCTTGAGAACTTTTTGTTGGGGCTGGCATTGAACCACAGTCTTCTGGATCTCAGCCTCTGGAGTAGTCGGCATTACAGGCTTGAGCTACTGCACTCAACTGATATTTCTTTTATGAAATACTGGTCATGATCAGCATTTCTTTTCTTTTTTTTTTTTTTCACTGAGATAATGCTGACCTAAAGTTATGTTTGTGCTCCTTGAGAGGGTATGATTTGCAATTTGAAAGACCCTAGTAATGGTTACAAATGCAATTATGAGGTAGGGCTGGTGGCTTTCAGACATAGCTCTGACACTTAAGTGTCTGGGTTTTGCAAGTAAATGCTGCATGTTCTCATTTCTCCACCTGTAAAACAGGTTGTGGTATTTCCAACTTCCTGGGCACCACTTGAGAAAGACATGAAAGGAGATCCTACAGGTACTGGTGCTAAGTGTGATGGGGAAAGCACCAGTGCATACAATCTTGGAGCATGCGGGAAATGTTGAGACCTGAAAGAGTAGTAGAATTGCTCAGACAAAGGTTTCAGTAGGTGAGGAGAAGTGAAGAAAATTCTGGGCAGAGGGAGCGATGTTGTGAAGCAGCACAATTCCCTGACTTCTGTGACCTTAGTTTCCCAGTTTGGCTGTAGCGTGAGAAAAAAAAGGCTATGGCAGATGAAGTTAGAAATGGTAGCATGGGTGAGGTCACCAAGAGCCCCAGCCACCTCAAAGAATTTTAGACCTTAGCCTAAGTGTAATGGGATCTAATTAAGCTTCTTAAACAGGGAAATACCATGATTTGCTTTTTTAAAAGACCAAGCAGTAGTGGAGAATGGATTGGAGAAGACAACTCCAGTGGCAGAGAGACCATGAAGAGTCTGGTGCAGCATCTCTGGGAAATATGCTAGCAGCCTGAATCATGGCAAGAAACGACAGCGAACAGCAGTCCTAAAAGACCTAATTGAATTGTGGACTTGAGGGAAAGTGGAACGAATAATGGGTCATTCCCAGGTTTCTGGCTTGAGCACCGGCGTGGTTAATTGGTGATGCTCTCAGACAAAACCTTGAGAAAAAGACATTCAAACTTGAATATGTGAATTTTTGAAGCAAATGCAACCTTCCTAAAAAAATGCTTCCTAACTTAAGCTATTTCTGACGTCCTGTGGGATATTTAGTAATTCCCTAACGCAATGATTCTGAACTATGGTATGCATTAAAATCACCAGGAAGGAGTGGGGTCAGGAGTCTGAAAAACGCAGGTTCCTGGACTAACAAGCTCAGATTCTAGAGATGACGACTGGGGCCCAGGGTTTAGACCATGAGTTTGAGTGATTCTGACGGAGGTTATTCTCCTGATTGCACTTAAAAAACAAACAACAGCCGGGCTCCCGTGGCTCAGGCCTGTAATCCTAGCTATTCAGGAGGATCGCGGTTCGAAGCCAGCCTGGACAAATAGTTCGCAAGACCCTATCTTTGAAAAAAACCTAACACACACACACACACACACACACAAAAGGGCTGGTGCAGTGGCTCAAGGTGTAGGCCCTCAGTTCAAGCCGCAGTACCGCAAACTAACAAACAACAGAAACTACCCGTCCTGTAGTTTCAACAGATTATTTTCTCACTGTCTATCCCTCCTTATTTGTTGGGCGCCCACATAGGGTTCCCTATTGCTCGGGATAAGCTCCTTGAGAGCAAGACGTGTTTAAAGCAAGACTTTGCTAACAAGTGCGTCTTCAGAGCCCCCAGAACAATATTCGGCCCAGGAAAAGCCCCCTACAAACGACCGAGGGAATAAACTACTAGACGGCTTTGAGCAATAACTTTTAGCTTTTAAACATCTCGGGAGGGCTTTGAAACCGGGAGGCCAAAGTCATTCCTAAGAGAGCGTGAGGATGCGACTGCAACATGTGGGGAGCCCCTTTTCCGATCTTCCAGATACACTCGGGGGGTCCTATTACCCTGGGCTGGTCTGGGTTGGGGTGAAAGATGTTACTCCAGGATCAGCAACCATTTTGGGCGGCATACGCCACTTCTCCGCAGCGTCCGGGTTCTGCAAATTCAGTCGCTTTCGTGGTTCCGGCCCGAGCCCAACCTGTGCAGCGGCAGGAGAGCCCCGGGGAGGCGGCGGGAGGCTGCAGAGGCCCGGCCACAAGCACCCTTCCCGGCCCGCCGCCCGGAGCCGCGCCGACCTCGCCATCATGGCTGCCGCCGGGCGGGGAGGCCGAGCCGTGCGTCGCGTGCGTGCCTCCTCCTTCCCCTCCCCCTCCGCGGCGGCGGCAGAGGCGGCAGCGCTCGCCATTGCCGCTGGTGGCAGGAGGCTGCGAGGAGCCGGCGCGGTCGCAGTCTCCACGGCGCAGGCCCACGGTAGCGCAGCCGCTCTGAGGTGAGTGCCCTACCGCGCAATCTCCAGCTATTTCAGCCCCGGCGCAGCCGCAACACGCCGCCCGCCCGCCGGCCGGCCGGCCCGCCCCGCAGCCGGCACCCTGCCGCCCCCGGCTCCGGGCCTGGGCCCCTGCCGGATTCGGCCCGCCTGGGACGGGGGGCCCCGGCCCGGCCCAGTCAAACCGCCACCCCGAGGATGCGCAGGCCGCAGTAGGCCCCAGGCGTCCTGGCGGGCTCGGGAGGGAGGCGCTGCCCTCCCGAGAGCCCCAGGGTTCCGTCCTCCCCTGCCGCCCATGGCTCTCGGGGCCGCGGCCTCCTCCTGTCCGTGGAACCCCGGGCTCGGCCTTCCCGCGGGCTCGGGAGCGGGCGGCCCCGGGAGAGCGCGCCGGGCCCGGGAGCGGGAGGTGGGCGGGCTGCGCGGGACCGGAGCGGCGGCTCGGTGCTCGCCCCCTCGGCTCTTCTCGGGTCTTGTCCGCGGGCGGCGGGGCGCGCTGGGGCCGGGCGGGGCGCGGGAGCCGCTGTCTCCTGCGGGAGCGGAGACCGGCTGTTCTGGCGACCTTCGAAGCTTCCCTCCTGCCGGGGTGGCGTGGGCTCGTTACCCAGGTAGACCCGGGGACGCCGGAATATGGCGCGTTGCCCACCTCCTTGCAAGTTGTTAGGAGGCGGCCCGGGCGGCAGTTCGAGGAGGAGGGCGCAAAGTCCTTTTGTACGCAGAAATAAGGAGCGACATCGTGTTTTGTTTCTTTTTTTTTTTTTTCCTCCCCTATGGAGGAGATGTGCTTACGGAGGAGCCTGTGCCTGGGGGGTTGGGGGGGTCCCCTGAATGAGAGGGTGCACAGAGGCGCGCCCTTCGGGGGGAACGGAACCTTTTTTACTGGAAAGACGGGGGCTCTAGGATGGGCTTGTGCATATCTTCAACCTTTGGGGGACCTCAAGGCTTTGCTGTCGCTTGTCACGCTCTTGGCTGTGCAGTGGTGACCACTGCCTTTCTCACCTGTTGTGTCGTTGCTGCTGGTCCCAAAGTTTCTGCGGTGCATATATATGACCGTGCCCGCTAGAACTTGAAATTGCTATAAAATCTTAATGTTTTTAGGGCTTCAAATGATAATCTGCTCCAGCCAGTTGGAGGAGCTGTTGCCTGTTCTCCATCCCTTCCTCCTAGCCATTAAATCAAAATACTGTGCATTAGTTGTTTAGAGCTAGTGTCAGTTGGGCTGAGTTTGTTCCGCAGTCGGCAAAATTCACCTCTTCTTAAGCGTTTAGAGGCCAGGTATTGGGAGAAAGGTAGGTAGTGTAAAGGAGCCTGTCAGCTTGGATAGTGCACGGTAGGAGAAGGGGTGCGCCTTTTGTCCCAGGGCATCTTCTGGGCCCACAGTGGTGCATTCCAATTTAGCCTTGTCTCCTAAGAAATTCTTTTTCCTTTGGCCTTGACCAAGAAGTTATTGCATTGGTCCTCACTCCAGGGAAGGGAGGAGGGGAAGCCTTGGAGATGCTTGTCTGTGTGTGTGTGTGTGTGTGTGTGTCTGTCTGTCTGTCTCAGTTTTGGTTTTTGATTTGAGTAGTATCCTGACTTGAAAGTTCTTGGCAGGTTACCTTATAGGTTAGTGAAATATGACTAGTTCTTTGTGCCACCGAATGTAAATTTCCTTATGAATGCAAGTGGAAACATACTATTACCGCATATAATGTGTGTTTACTCTTAATTTGGGTCCTGAATTGTGTGCAGAATTGTTCTGTGTCCAGGGGCTTGTCCTTGTGTCGTGTCCATGTGTTATTTCCCCTTTTCTTTTTCCTTTATTTTGCAGTGCAGACCATATACCTCTGAGTTACACCTGGAGCCTCCCTTTTTTTTTCTTTTGATAGGAAGTTAGATTGTTGTGTTCATTAGGGCCTCTGACCCAAACAAAAGTAAAACAATAATCACATTAAGAATAACTACTTACTTAGCCTTTTGACTCACCTAATTTGAATATTTTTTATTTCTTCATAAACTCAAACTCAGCATTTAGGAGGGAAAAATGACTTTTTTGCATAGTAGTAGTGAGTGAGTAGTTGCCCATTTAGGAAGAAGAAGAAGAAGGAAAAAAACCCTTATCTTCAAGCCAGGAGTTTTCACGCAGATACTTTACTTGTTTTGTTTGAAGGAAATTTAGCTCTTGGAGTTAGAGAAGGGACTGTGGGAGCAGGGGATAATGAAGGCCCTTGTTCAGATACAGAAGGAATTAAAGGAGGAAGGATCTCGGGGTTCCCTCCCAAATCATGTATGTTCCAGTGGAACCCAAAATTGTAGGGTTTTTGTTATTAAAGCATAATTACACATCTGCTGGTAATTTAGGTAGGGAGCTGAAGGCCAGCTTCCCGTGATTTAAATATACCTGAGTTGGTATTGCCTCTAGGTGTAGGTTCAACCACACCTCTGGTTGTCTTTTTTTTTTTTCCTTTTTTTGTGGCTGTACTGGGGTTTGAATCCAGGGCATTGTGCTTGCTTAGGCAGGTGCTTTACCACTTGAGGTACACCCCTAGCTCTGAGTTGTCTTAAAGAAGCATTTCCTGTGAGATAATGACAAGTGGATGACTGTTTTAAGGGAAATTGAAGCTTCTTGTGGTCTAGGATTACATTTTTATACCTTTTCTTCTTTGTAATAAAGCATTCAGTAATGTTTGTTGGGGAGTAATGGTGATAATGAACAGCAGTTATTGAAATTGAACTTTTTTTTTTTTTTTTTTTGCATGTGTTCTGGAAAAGGCACGGTGTGTTTTTTGGTTTTTGGGGGGGTGGGACTCTGAACTGTCAGTCTTAAGTACACTCTCCAGGAAGTTAAATGTGTATGTCAGCTTCTGTCTTTAGACAAGCCCAGTGCTTCCTGCTGAAGCACTTTCATTCATCTGCTCAAGATTGGGGAAGGGGAACTCTGGGCTGTTTCACAAATGTCTTTCTAATCTCCAGAGTTTAGACATACCCTTTTTGGGCCTGTCATCAGTTCAGATAATGAGATCTTTAAGTTTAGATGTTTGTGTGTGTCTATGTGTGATGCTTATTACAAATATAAATAGTATTTGGATAATCAGTCTTACAAATAAATACCAAAGCTGGTTTTGTGAAAGCATTTTAGAACATGTTCTATGGTAAATGTTTTCATTTGGAACTAAAGCTAGTGCTTTTCAGCCAGGTTTAGCCAAATATAATTATATTATAAACATGAAAAAGAAACTCATTTGTTAAGTTTCTTTTAGAAATGTATTATTTAGACCAAGTCCAGTGTTTTTTGAGTCTGTGGATATGTGTTAGTTTTTGGGTGTTAGTATCATACAGTTACTTCCCTGTTACCCAGTTTTTTAGATTTTGAAGTTAACACATCTGTTAGTATTCTAAGGTGAGTAAGCTGGAAGAGAATGGGAAAAAGAGTTGAAACAAAAACTATTTCAGGTGTTTCCAGATTACAGGTACATTGAGTGTTTGGGAAATTAATCCTGGATCAACAAAAGTGCTTTGTTTGAACTTACTTTAATGTAATGTGGACAAAATTTGAAAAATGAATTTTTGGCTGCTCAGAGAAAATTAAGTGGATTATGTATATCTTGAATTTTTTTTCCTGAAGTGCAGTTCAGAATTACACTAATGTGTTTCCAGTTCTACTCAACGCATTTTAGTCACTGAGATAGCAAAGAGGCGTCATCATGTGGTCTTTATGCCTAAAGTGTCCTAAAATGTGAAGATCTATATTATATCAAGCTATAAACCATTTTTTTTTAACTGAAGAAGAGCCAGACGTGTAACTTTCTGGAGATGTTCAAGTATATAAGCCGGGCACTGGTGGCTCACTCTGTGATCCTAGCTACTCAGGAGGCAGAGATTAGGAGAATCATGGTTCAAAGCCAGCCTGGGCAAGTAGTTTGAGAGACCCATGGAGGGAGAGGGGGGGAACTATCACAAAGAAGGGATAGTGGAGTGGTTCAAGGTACACTTGAGTTCAAACCTGATAAAAACAAAAACCAGAAACTACTTAGAGTTGTAGGCCTATCACGTTTATTATCCCTTGAGACAAAAATCTGTATTGTATCACTAAGAGTTGTATTTTAGAAGATAATCTAACCATGAGGGGTCTTCTAAATCCCAGATCTGGTAGTCTGCCTTGCCTTACCTCAAAATCATTTGCTTTAAACTCTACCTGCTACCAAACCATCAGATAGTTTCTTGAGGAAGCCATGTTTAGTAAGGGAGGGTGGGTGTGTGTTTAGGTCAGGTTGGTGGAGCGAAGAGGGGGTAAGAGAAGATGATACTGGTGAAAGAATCTAGGTTTGTAGGTTAGGATGATGACTGGGCAGTATTGGGGTTTGAACTCGGCTTTAGAGGGCAGTATTTTTTTAAGAGAAGCTACAACAACTTTTGTATGGGTCATCAATTGGGTGATTTAGGCTGTTTATGGCAATTGTTATGCGTAGTATATAAGCTAGTATTTTAATCAGGCTTGTTGACTTTGGTTACAAATATGAAAAGTTTGGCTTATAATTTAAGTGGACATTTTCTTAAGATTTCTTTAAGTGGTGCCTGTTGGATAAATCCTGCTGGTCTTTTTCAGAGTCTGTGGAGAATGAACTTTGTATATGTGTATGTTAAGACCATTATAAAAAAGAAAAGCTTTCATTTTACTGTTGGCAATTGTAAGGTCTTTGCTTTTTAGAACTTAAGAGTCTCTGTTGTTGCTGCTACTGAATGCTAATGTGGTTAGGTTGGCAGCTAAACCTACAAAGAACAAGAGGAAGTGAGGAAATGTCCCCAAGAAACATTGCTTAAAGCTGTTTAAGCAGTGGGCTAGAAATGGGAGCTGGGGACCAGGGGACCTAATTCTTCTCCATTGAGAAGTAACCTCCTTAAGTAGTTCTCACTTTGGAGTTTTGCCATTCATTCACCAGACATTGATTAAAGACATTCCATATTCTAGAAATGTGCTAGGTGTTAAGAGTCAAAAATAAACCATGGGCCTTGTCTAGGAGGAGAGA